TAACCCTGGTCGCACATTTTACGTCCGCGACACCCGGAGTGGCAGACGTTTCTTGGTTGACACTGGTGCCCAGCTAAGTGTCATTCCACCCATACCAGCTGATCGTGGGTGCCCCAATCCCGGTCTTTTCCTACAGGCCGTCAACACATCGCCGATGACCACATTTGGCACCTGCTCCCTCTCTCTGGACATCGGTCTCCGACGTCTCTTCCCTTGGGTCTTCGTCGTTGCTGACATCCCCTGTGCAAGTCTCGGTGCAGATTTCCTCGCCGCTTTCGATCTTCTGGTCGAATGCCGTCAGTCACGTCTACACGACAAGACTACCAACCTTACTGTCCGGGGTATCTGTTCCTCTGACACCTCCCGTCATCTTGCCGTCTTGGACCCTGAACCCGAGAATCCATTTCGGCAACTCCTCCCCAAATACCCCGGCCTCACTCGTCCCAACTTAAACGTTTCTATTCCACCGCATGACGTTGTCCACCACATTCGGACCACTGGCCCTCCCGTGTTTTCTCGCCCCCGCCGTCTCGCGCCGACACGTCTTGCTGCCTCCAAGGCCGAATTCGAGCACATGCTTCAAATGGGCATCATCCGTCAGTCTGAAAGCCCATGGGCCTCACCCCTCCACATGGTTCCAAAGGCCGCCACTGGTGACTGGCGCCCCTGCGGTGACTACAGGGCCCTGAACAACGTTACTGTCCCGGACCGCTACCCTGTCCCACATCTTCAGGATTTTGCCGGTGCCCTATTCGGCAAGTCTGTATTCTCGAAGATCGATCTGGTCCGTGCTTTCCACCGAATTCCCATAGCCCCGGAGGACGTTTCGAAGACGGCCGTTACCACCCCCTTTGACCTCTTTGAGTTCCTGCGCATGTCGTTTGGACTTCGCAACGCCTCCCAGACCTTCCAACGGTTTGTAGACAGAGTGCTTCGCGGCTTACCATTTGTCTACGCCTATATCGACGACCTTCTGATAGCCAGCTCTACCACTGAAGAACACATGGAACATCTTACAACGGTGTTTGACCGCCTTCAACAATTTGGCGTTGTTCTCAACCCGTCCAAGTGCGTCTTCGGTGTGCCCTCCCTAGAATTTCTCGGTCATCTGGTCGACTCCCACGGCATTCGGCCTCTTCCCTCAAAGGTTGCCGCCATTCGGGACTTTCCACCCCCTACCTCGAAGCGTCAGTTGCAACGGTTTCTTGGTATGGTGAACTTTTATCGCCTGTTTCTCGCAAACTGTGCCGACACCATCCTACCTCTGACCAATCTCCTCTCAGGTTCTAAACTCACCTTTGAACTTACACCAGCAGCACTCACGTCATTTGAGCAGGTAAAAGCCCTTCTGGCTGACGCCTTCATCCTGACTCACCTTCACGCTGATGCACCCATATCTTTGATGGTCGATGCCTCCAATGTTGCTGTTGGCGCGGTTCTTCAACAAAGTCTGCCGGATTCTACCGTGCCTATGGCTTTCTTCTCCAAGAAACTATCCAAAGCCGAAACCCGCTACAGCACATTCGGACGTGAACTTCTCGCCGCTTATCTGGCCGTAAGGCACTTCCGGCATTTACTCGAAGGTCGAGAGTTCACAATTTTCACTGATCATAAGCCACTCACGTTTGCAATACATTCCCACTCTGACAAGCTAAGCCCCCGGGAGATCCGTCACCTGGACTACATTTCGCAGTTCACTTCAGACATCCGCCATATTGACGGGTCACGGAATGAGGTGGCTGACGCACTCTCAAGGCCCTCTATTGCTCATCTTCAGCTTTCACCCGGGATAGACCTCGCTGAGATGGCCGCTGAACAACGTCGTGTCGGTCCACCCTGTGATGAGGATGTTTCCGGACTCCATCTTCAGGAGCTACCACTGACAACTGGCAACGGCAGTATTCTATGCGACGTATCCACCCCATCTCATCGTCCATTTGTGCCACCATCTCTCCGCCGCAAAGTTTTATCCTCCCTGCACAATCTCTCTCACCCTGGGAGTCGAGCAACCGACAAGCTGGTTTCCGACCGCTTCGTCTGGCCTGGAATGCACAAGGACCTGAAAGCATGGACACGGGCGTGTCTCGGCTGTCAACGGAATAAGGTCCGACGGCACAACAAAACTCCCATTGGCACCTTCCCTACTCCGGACGCACGATTCAGTCATATCCACCTGGACATCGTAGGCCCCCTGCCTCTGTCCAATGGCTGCTCCTATCTCCTCACCTGCGTGGATCGATTCACCCGGTGGCCGGAAGCTTTTCCACTGTCTGATGTCGCAGCTCCAACGGTCGTCAAGGCTTTCCTCAGTCGTTGGGTTGCCATTTTCGGTGCTCCCTCCATTATCACGACTGACCGTGGTGCCCAATTTGAATCTCACCTCTTCCAGTCTTTACTCTCCTTTTTAGGCTGTACTCGCATCCGCACTACAGCCTATCATCCGGCAGCTAACGGGATGGTCGAGCGGTTTCACCGTCAGCTGAAGGCCTCCCTACCCACCGCAGACGATCCGAAGAATTGGACAGACCACCTCCTCTTGGGCATTCGCCTCTCCCTCAAGTCGGACCTTGATTGTTCTGCCGCTGAACTCGTGTTCGGTGCCACCGTCCGACTTCCCGGTCAGATGATCTCGCCAACCCCGCGAGTTGCAGTTGAGGATCCCACCAACCTCCTGCATCGCCTCCGATGTGATCGAGTCCGCCGGCCACTGGAACCACCCTACGATGGCCCCTTCCGAGTTATCCCTCGTGGGACGAAGAACTTCCGCATCCAACGCGGTACTCGCGAGGAGGTCGTGAGCGTGAACCGTCTCAAAGCTGCCGTCCCGGACACTCCTCTGGATGTGCCCTGTGGTCCCCTAGCCCCTGCTCCGCCTCCCCGACCCTCTATTCCACCGTCCCGTATACTTCCTCTGCCCTTAGGTCCACAACTCCCAACTGCAACTACCCCTTCATCAAAAAACAACACTGTGACCGGGAGCCATACTCACTCTTATCGTGTGCCCCCTGCATATACCACCCGAAGTGGACGCCATGATCACTTTCCTGACCGTTTCGTTACTCATGTTTTTTAGACATCAACAGTTCCTTCGGTATCGCTACGCGCCACCATCGGTCTAGCCGGGGGGTACTGTAGCAGTTCGCGTCTCCTCACCCTCCGCCTTTGTCACGCTGCCGTCCTGTCCGCCTAACACACTACGTGTCGAGATGCTGCTGGGACGCGCGAGTGCTCGAAGCCTATCAACGATGTCCCCACTCTGATTGGCTGGCGAGGTTGAGACAACGAAGGGCGCACACACACGCGGACACAACACCTCGAAGGCGGACACAGACAACAGCTTGCTTGGCACGCGCTCGCGGCAACTGCCTACAGAGCCCTCGTGTACGCACTTTCTCAGGCAGTAAAGGTTGTCCAACTCAAACCGTCTTCCCTGACTTTTGATTGGGAATCTTTATCTTGCCGACCACACAACTTTCTACACCCCTTCATCAGGGATCGTTGCACGTGGTGTGAAGGCCGACATTCACGTCTTTAATTGCTGCAATCTCATCACGTGCGTAAGATGTTGGTGCGATGATTGCTCTACCATCTGATCCACCAACCCTGATGTTGGGAAAAGTGTTTACATGTGCGTTCCCCGCGTAGCTATTTACTCCGCCTCGGCGAAGTCTCAGCCCGGAGTATTGAATGGGAGGATCATTGCACTTGTTAATAGACTGGCGGCCAGTAAACCATGACTTAAGCAGACCCTGGCTCACGCGGTTGTCACCTCTAACGAGAATTTCGGCCTCGTCGAATTTGAATGTGTGGTCGAATTTCGTCGAATGAGCCGCAACTTGAGAACTGGCGTTATTCCTCCGCACTGCTGCAGCGTGTTTGGTCCTTCTCGTTCGGAGCTGTCTTCCAATTTCTCCGAAGTAGTTGCTTTGTCCGCAACTGCACCAGATCTGATAAACGACTCCAGATGTTTCTTGCCGTGGCAGCGGGTCTTTCGGTTTCATTACCTGACGCCTGAAGGTGGCCTCCGATATGTGTGCAACTCCAAACCCAAGTAATGCGAGAACGCGGCCGACAGCTTCCGAAACGTTCTTGGCATATAGAACCGCTCGCCAAGTTTTGGTGTCTGTGCGGTTAAGTTTCTCGTCCCTTTCGTGTATGCACCGGTTGACGAAGTTGCGCGGGTAGCCATTGGCTTTGAAGACCCGTAGGAGGTATTATAGTTCGGTATTCTTTTGCATGAACCACTCGTGTCTGCTTTTGTCTCTGATGATGGGTTCGAGTAGGAATCCGAAACTTTAGGCTAATAAAGCTCTTGTCTCAGCGATCGTGTCATCTTCTTCAATTTCGCACTTGTCTTCGCGTTCATGAAGGCTGAGCAGTCTCGTGACTGACATAAAGACCCATTATGGCACATGAGCTTTTTTTATTCAGTCACCGGTTTGTTGGGTCCATCATCGGCGCAAAGCTTGCTATCGGACAACACTGATAATAAAACCGCCCACTTATGACAAACGTACCTCATACAGTAGATGTGCTAACTCATGAAATGTCAACCAAAATTTCGAAATACGTTCTCGTTTCGAAAAGATAAATTAAGTAGTGTGGTAAAACTATTCATGATGCAGCATAAATCTATAATCATCCAGTTACCATTGGGTGTCGGTTTTCGAAAGAACTTATTTTCGGCTGCAAGTAAGTTCTATACGCTGCAAAAAATGACTACTTAAGTAACATGCAATATTCTCAGTGATTTTCGATGCCCTTGAAAATTCAATTATATTTCATGGAAAACATGCATTAAAATACTCATTCTTGTACTTATTCGGTAGAAAATCATGTCTTCTTCTAATGTCATACTTAAAAAAAAGAGTATAGTTCGGTTTTGAAAAACTTTTCTAATTCCCGACTAATTTTGAACCCTACCTGCTGTTACACTTGCATTCAGGGTTTCAAAACTACAAGCTGTATATTTTCCGTGTGCGGAAAACCATGCATTTCTCTACAGTTGCATTGGCACCGCTGGGCCGAATAGACCAATAAGACTACACTTGCAATAACATGCCCAAAAAATCACTTAGCTGGCAGAGGAGTTTTCACCATAGAAGTTATATCCAGTGAATATAACTGTATTTCAGAGAATTTGTTGTAGTATCGAATTCTGTGAATAAGATGTGAGCCACAGAAAAAAATGAAATCAAGCTTTAACAGATGCGCATGTCTGGCCTAATCTTCATTGTCGTCGAAACACTAGGGTGGCCATGAATGAAAGTTAATGTTTGACGGTAGACACATTGTAATCGATTTTGTTATCGCCTACGCAGTGCACAAATTGCAGCACAGTTTTCAAAAAAGTGTCTGTTCCCTTTTCGAAAATTATTTTTATATAAAGTAGGAGAGGTACGAAACGAGCGAAGTTCGTTATTATCCATACCAAGTTTTCTTCCGGTAGACGCTTCTTCGGATGCTACCGTCAGATCTCATGTTTAGAAGGACATCTAAGAAAAGAAGCGAAGCGGTCGATTCCATCTTCACCGTGAATTTGATCGATGTATGTGCTAGTTCGACAGCATTTAGAAGGGTAGCGACGTCGGTTTCTGTGGTTTCAATCGCAAAGATATCATCGACGTATCGACCGTAATGTTTGAGCTTTTGATCTGATCGTTTAGTTGAAACCTCTACAGCTTGCCCATGAAGACATCGACTAAGAGAGGTCCAAGAGGCGAGCCCATAGCAACACCGTTTATTTTTCTACATGATCTTTAGGCGTTCCCATATGCCCAATCGTCAGGAGCTGGAAAAATTTGCGTGAATTACGACTCCGATATGCTAGCTTGACGTTACTTATAATTGAGATGAGCGGACAATCGAACATTCACAATACGACCTTAGGAATGTGCTCGCGGTAGGCCATTGATGCCAGACGAACCACTACCTGATGCTCGTCAACGACCTGAAGAGCCAAATGGTGTAGCTTTAGAGGTAGTTGTATCCTTCGCAAGAACGCTGCGAAGATTTGCGTTTCCGTCACAGCAGCCTGCTTCCCAGGGAATAAGCTTTCCTTAGCTATGTCCACACAGGTGTTGGAGTCCTGGAGGACTGCATATTCCGTCTAAGCATTCTGTATTGTGACTGACAACAAAGAACGTCTTCGTATGTTCCAGTAGACCACCACTCTGTAAACCATGATATAAACCAAACCAAGTAGATGATTCGAATTCAAGGCGCATTTGTGAGTGCCTTAGGACCCTATGCACTCTAGTTATACAATGCCTTCTCAGCCCAGGACGACCTTCCGAACAACTGCCAGCGTCTTACAAATGCCTGCGTTTACTCATGAATAACACAGTCGTGCAATTTTTTAAGTGTGCTTAGTGCGAACAGGCACCTTCTTAAGTAAACAACCTGCTTGTATTGTTCACCATGTTTGCTGCATTTATACTGAAGCATTGATTTTTAAATGTTCATCCGTAGACAGTACTGCTGAGAAACAGATAACATTCATCTTAATAGGGGGTTAATATGTTCCGTATAGGTATTGTGGCCGATTAAGTTCATGTCATTGCTTGTTTCTTACCTCGAAAAGTAAACAAATTTAAATGCCCATAATTTATTATATGTTTACAACTGATATACACGGTTTTAGTTTAGTGTACAAAACAAACGCGACGAAGGTATAATTCGAAAACGGAAAAGGGAATAAATTCGTTTTGTAGCCGAAAACATCCAAGCATACTGCTTCCGAAAAGCATAACTGGAAACATCCGAAGATATCCTTTCGAACATGAAAGGGAATACGTTAACCATTCGAATGACATCGATGGCAGTCCTTTGATCATGAAAGCTCAATTCAAATAGAGCAAAACCGAGGACGTCATTGTAACTAAGATTAATTGACTCCGAATCCTCTTCTCCGGCATGCCACATGGCGGGTATTGCCTGAATATTTAATGGAAGCCTATAGATGACCTGACAAACTATAAATCATTCTATACTGATAGTTTGTCCAACTTTTAAACATCAGTGTTCATGAGACTAGTAAACGAATCTGTTCCCTATTATGCACTACTTACGATGTTTAATTTTCGAGCCTATTTCACACATGAAACTCTATGCCTGAATACGCATGCTATACGGATAACTGCAAAAACCGACAAAGTAAAGTGAATATTATTGACATCTTAGATACTAACTAACATCTGACTAAACAAAAAATCTGATTATTATGACTGAAGTCTTGATTGCTATAACTTCAGTCTACTTCGTACAAAAATGCCCGAAAGCTGCTGAATTCCTTCAAACATGTGTTTAGTTATAAGGCTTGTGTAGGATTCAGCGGCGTATAATTAAATTATGCATTGTAGAGGCATGGTTCAGAAGGCCAAAACTGAGAAATAAGACAAAAGCATTTCGCATACTATGTTTAGGTAGGTGAGTTCGATCTTTGGAAATGTGACGTTGCAAAATATGTTGTATTTGCCTGGAGAAGTCGACACGTAGGTACGACATCCGAGTGTACTGCCCTTTTCGACAAAAACCAGACTACACCCTGTTGTCCCAAATTCAGTCTGGAAGGAAGGTATTTCAACTGAAGCCAGCTTGCTCAGCAAATAATCGTAGGGATTGGCAAAGTCCAATCCCGGCGGATATCTATTGCAGCTGTTACGCGATCTGATAAACGGGCGTCCGTATGCTGGTGAGAATATAAGTAGGAAATGACTTAACTCCATTTCCGTAGAGGAGTATAAGTGGAATTTATACATGA